CTTTCCTAGTCAACATGGCGACTTGCATGCAAAGTAAAGTGCCTGTTTTAGAAGAGCGTAGTAGCTAGACCTTCTGCGGTCGGCATGAAGGTCTTTAGTTCGAATCCACATCCAGATGAATTTGTATTTTTTAACTGACCTGGGCTCTCTTGTTAACCCAGCCCAAAATGTGAACCAAGTAATGTGAGGAAAGTATAGGCGGCCGGCGTGTTTGTTGAGCATATCACCAACCCAGTCTGGTAGCTCTAACACACGAGTCTGGCATAACTGATAGTGTTAAATCTGAATGACAAAACTGATAGTGTTAAATCTGAATGACAAAACTGATAGTGTTAAATCTGAATGACAAAACTGATAGTGTTACATCTGAATGACAAAACTGATAGTGTTACATCTGAATGACAAAACTGATAGTGTTAAATTTGTCGCTCAACAAATGGGACACTGTTTGCTGCAGGACCAAGATAATCAATACAACATACAACTCAATGCAGAGATACTGTTGGGCCCGTGTGTTTGGATGTTTGAATATATGTTTACATTTTGCGGCCGCCATGTCGCAGACGTGACTAAGACGATACCTCTTTGTTTCTACTGAGTCTACTTACGCAATTGTTAAAGTACAGAGCACTGGATATTTTTCTTTCAGTTGTTGTTGCTGACACATAGCTCCTCTGTTGCTGGTACTTATCACATTTTATTACCTATGCAGTGGTTTATTACTAGCGTGCTAATTGTGTCTTTTCAGTTATTATTTGGGTATGCAATATTAGATGTTATGATATGTTATGTTATCACTATCCATACTGAGCTCACCATACGTACCAAGTCCTCGGATGCAGCAGCCACTCCAGAATACCTCTACTAAATATTTTTATACGAAGTGTTACAGTGAGTCATGAAAAGATGTTGCGTCGGAAACCCCGGCATTGACTTGGTCGGGAAAATATAGTTAGAAGATTTCGATCTAGCTGATGGCGTTGTTCTGTTCAGTATAAACAGCAATGATATGCAAAGAAAAACATATGATTTAACAAATATAGCATCAAGGGTTGGACTACAAACAAGTTATGAAAAGATAAATATATTGCAGACTCCAACAGATAAAGCAGATGTAACACAAGAGACAAAAGTAATTAAATAACAAATCAATTTACTTATTTAGTTAATAGTTTTGATCATAAATGAAATACAAAGAAAGATGTGATGATACTCACTGGCAGAGCATCAGCAGATTTAAATAGCTTGAACAAAATGTGGAACTCTCAAATGTCCAGTTTTCAAACCAAGTTACGCATTTTCAGTTCTAGCGGTGTTTCGGCTGTAACATATGCCAAGGAAGGAGAACTACTGGAGGTACAGTTTCGGCTGTAATCTATGCCTAGGAAGGAGAGCTACTATAGGTATAGTTTCAGCTGTAACATCTGCCCAGGAAGGAGAGCCACTAGAGGTATAGTTTCGGTTTGAACATATGCCAAGGAAGGAGAACCACTAGAGGTATAGTTTCGGCTTGAACATATGGCAAGGAAGGAGAACCACCAGAGGTATAGTTTTGGCTTGAACATATGCCAAGGAAGGAGAGCCACTAGAGGTATAGTTCCGGCTGTAACATATGCCAAGGAAGGACAGCCACTACAGGTTTAGTTTCGGCTGTTACATCTGCCAAGGAAGGAGAACTACTAGAGGTATAGTTTCGGCTGTAACATGTGCCAAGAAAGGCGAACCACTAGAGGTTTAGTTTCGGCCTGAATATATGCCAAGGAAGGAGAGCCACTAGAAGTATAGTTTCGGCTTGAAGATATGTCAAGGAAGGAGAGCCACTAGAGGTATAGTTTTGGCTGTAACATATGCCAAGAAAGGAGAGCCACTAGATGTAAAGTTTCGGCTTGAACATATGCCAAGGAAAAAGAGCCACTAGAGGTATAGTTTCGGCTGTAACATATGCCAAGGAAAAAGAGCCACTAGAGGTATAGTTTCGGCTGTAACATATGCCAAGAAAAAGAGCCACTAGAGGTATAGTTTCGGCTGTAACATATGCCAAGGAAGGAGAACCACTAGAGGTATAGTTTCGGCTGTTACATATGCCATAGAAGGAGAACCACTAGAGGTATAGTTTCGGCTTGAACATATGCCATAGAAAGAGAGCTACTAGAGGTATAGTTTCGGCTTGAACATATGCCATAGAAGGAGAGCTACTAGACGTTTAAAGGCAAAGCTAATTTCATTGCAGTTAGCAGACAAATGCCGAAGGAAAATGATGAAAACAAAATAAGATGAATTCAAAAGGACTGAAGAAATAACCACTAGTATTGATAGTTAAAAGGCAGATAAGATGACGCTATATTGGACACATCCTGAAGAGAAGCTAGCACAGAATCAACAAACGGGTACTAAAACAGGGAATGACGGGACTAAGAAGGCGAGGAGGCCCAAAACGAACGTTGATGAGAGAGGCCAAAGCTGCTGGACCGGATTCCATCCATGATATCGAATTGACTGCATAGGATATAGCCAAATGGAGGAAAAGGATGCGAGTATATGCAATGGGGGAAAACAATGGCACAACAGGACAATGAATAAATAATATGAAATTTAATAATTGAATATAACAAATAAAGTACCTTTCCCACACCTTGAGGAATACTGACCATGTTGTAATAGCCCCTATTTGTATAGAAACTGGCATGGAAATTGATGTGGACTATGTCTTCCCAACTCAACTCATGCTTGTGACTGACTGACTGAC